AATTAATATTATTATTTACAGTTTTATCGTAATAATAACATCATTAACTACCTACACAACTACATTGTTGATTCACAACACAATATGATTCATGAAGCACGAGAATAAATTTTATATGAACAAATTTAAGTGTGCTATTGTAAAAGTGATGGTGGCCAGGAGAGGGGATGATAACTCGCTTCCGTATAGCGCTCCACTCTAGGTGGATGAATACGCTCGTAGCGAGGACTTAAGTACGATTGTCATTTGCAACTCTATAATTTAAATATATATCATGAGAACAAAATTATATAATAATATAAACTTAATACTGTCAACAAGATAAATAAAACGTTTCCGCGCATTCAACATAATATACTCAACAAATAAGGACGGTTACATAAATATTGCTTAAGTTTTTTAAGGCACTCGTTGTTTTGATCAGTACGAATAAATCTTAGCATGATAATAATTGGCGTTATCTAAACGCAAGTACACACACACACACACACATAACATTTATCATATATATAAATATGTATACACATAGACGCAGGGTAATTATTTTAACGCAAATCGTTTAATATCGGTCAAAAAATGTTAATAAGTATTCGCATTTCATACAAAAGCTGCAAGGAAAAATTATAGCCATATATAAAGTGTCGTGTAATTTATGTGTAACCATTTGCTAGTTATRGAAAAACCTATGGTTACTGAAAACGTAGGGATGTGGTTATAGAGACTATTGAGCGAAATATCAACAGCATTCATGTTGTAGGTATCAACATTTTAGATATTTTGACTAATTCACATCAAAATAATTATCTTGCATATAAGTATRATTTATTACATGTATGATATATATTATGTGAAAAGATAATTTATAAATACAAACAGTACTCGAATCGAGAGAGGGCCCGGAAGTAAAAAAAAATTATTTAGATAAAAATATTAATTATGCGTAACCTTTTAACTTTATGTTCTAATCAATAAGACATTTAAATATTCAGGTACGCAAATTTTATTTACACTTTGCATCCCTCTTCTATTTTTCTGAACTCGAGCACTGAATACAAATGTTAAAAATACCTAATATGTATAKTTTAAGTAAAAAATATCAAAATATACCCTGTAAAATCTAACCCTTTCAACTTTGGCAGTAAACAAAAATAAAAATGTATTGAAATTTCCGTCAGTATAAACGTCGGGTTGATGAAAAATGTTGTTTAAATGCATATTTCGTGTGGAGATGGAGCGGCGGTGTGCTTCAACTACCACGAAGTTCCAAAATTCAAATTTCTACCAGAGTAATCTGATTCACCGGTGCTTACGCGCATTGGTATTCAATAATAATAATRTTTAATATAATCTATATAAACTTAAATCGGAACAATCKCTAGTCAGTTACGTGACATACGCGCTGTAACGCCGCTGTGCCCGAGCGATACTCTATATATTGTATTAATATAATAATATAGTGTAACGTCATAATTTATAATTTTTCACTCGTCATACGACACACATACATAGGTTCATGTTTCTTAGACTAGGTTAATATGACAAACATATCTTGTACACGCGCACGCACACACGCATAAATAAATATACATGTATGTATCAATTTCTTAATTAGGGTGACATAAAAAAAAAAAAATTTAGGTATAAAAACAGTTGATGTGCGAAACGTTTTTAAAGCCAAGTCAAAATCGATCCTGGTTTATTGTTCGGGTCGATCAACAATTGTACTTCATCCAGTATGTCACTACTAAATTCGTCCCCTAACTAGAAAACAGAAAAAAAATATCATAATAAATAACCGTACAATAACAATGCATGTGAGTTTGGCCGAAACTGATCGGACGTGTTCGTTATATTATTACAATTCTATAGTTCTAATAGTAAGTTGATTGTATTTACTTGAAGCGACGGGACTAAGTCGTCGGTGACATCCAACGTGGACATTTCCTGTGAATCGACTACCGACATGTCGGATGAAGGACCCGGATTATCGCTCTCTGTACACCACGAGTGCATGAACAAAGGAAAACGAAACAAAATTAATAAAAACATCAATACCGTTAGGTCAGGTTACGATATTGTTGTAATAATAACAGCAACAACAATGACTTATCGTATGTACCCACATTGTATTGSAGGAAAAAAAATCTTTGGCCCTTACCTGAAGTACAGTCCATGTTGTCGTCCATGTTTGATGACAAAAAGTCTTCGGGAGTGTGTGGCAGAGAGTAGTTGTTTCCCAGGCCCAAGCCGCTGTCGGCCGATTCTTGCCTCGAATGATCTACGCTACTGCTGCTGCACGATAGGAACGGGTCGAGGTCGTTGTTCGTCTGACCCGAGCGCAACATCAGATCTTGCTGCGTACACAACATAAACATATTCATACATATTTTAATACATTATATTGGCACGGCAGTGTGATAATATTTTAAACGCCGATTAAATCAGACGTTTCCCGACACGATGACGCCTTAACTGCAGGTCGTCTCCCATGGGAAAAGGCGCCACCAATAGGAATCACTATAAGCACCGAAAAAACTGAAGTATCACCACAAGACTGCACTCCTTAAATATGGCATGGAARAATCTATTSGAGAATATGGCCTTTACAACTCCAAAAATGATAATTTTGATAAATTCACAATACTATTGAATAAATGGGAGTGAGCACAAAGAATGCGTTTGTTGAATCAACATATTCAATGTTCGTGCATCATCTTTATCAACTAATGATTTRGGTCTGATTGGGGCAGGTCTCTAGGTCACGCGTATCATCTAATATTAATAAAGTCTATAACACTACAGTAAATTATAATAGCTGCTTCTTACCTGACGAATGATTTCCTGTTGGCGACTCTTTAGACGTTCGCGCTCTAACTGAAGAGAGTGTAACCTGAGCTTTTGCTGGGTGACTTGGAGCGACTGTGACAAACCGGAAGCGCCGTTCAACAGCCACGACGCAGAACCGGAAGGYAGCACGGCGCCCGACGTTGGTGCTCTTTGCAAGTGAACGGCTGTAAACACAAACATTATGCACATTATAGTACATGTATGAATTATTGATGTAGCGAGTTCATAGGGCAGTAGTCGTTTGGGTGAGTATATTAGTTTTTATCTGAGTGGCTGATTTGAAAATGAGGACGTTGATGTGCATGTGATTTTTTTTTTCAACAATTATCAAAATATAACAAAGATAATTAAGGTATACATTACAAAATAATAATTGTGAACATTTTGATTTAGATGATGATAATGGTGTACTATATTAAAATAATAATGGTTCGGAAACCATGAAAATGTACAGTTACAGATGATTTTATTTTATAAATGTTTAATTGTATTATATATTAATACGTACTTATAATTCAATATTACTAGACTAACATTTTTTTTTAAATTTTTAGTACATTATTAATTATTATTTTAGATTCCAAGCGTAACAAATGAATGTATTGTATCTACAATGATGCGTGTGTGTTTTTTTTTTCTGTTTATCGTCAAAATTTGGAGTATTAAAATTCCGATTTCGTCAAATATCAGCATATTTCTGACTGTAATTTAATTTAATTAATGCTTTTGAGAGGTCAAAATTGAAAATTCCCAATAAGTTGTAGAAAGCATMGGAAAAAAAGCTATTTAAAAAAAAAATTGATTTTATTTTTTTGATTTAACTCAAAAGGCAATTACTGTACATCTGTACACACTTGAAATTTTCATTAAATATTAATATTTATAGTATAATTTTCTGCACATGGTAATTGGTAAGCTTTTCAAAATATTTTGACACATATTTATTATGCTAATTATATTTTATAGCCATAAGATTTTTTTCTTATTTTGTAAATTTTTTATCAATTAGTAATTTATAAGTTTTTATTTTCATAGCTAACATTAGACATTTAATAGAAGATTTCTAACAAGTATTTCTACTTTTATAAAAAAAAATCATCGGAAAGTTACGATATTTATAAACAATGCCACTACCGTACTTATAGTACTTATTGCAGAACAGAATCCACTTGTCCAACTTTTTAAAATAATATGTATATTATATTAAATATGATTTTTTTAAATATATTGTTTTTATTTTTTAATATTATGAAAATGTACATCAGTAGGTATACAACTGGTATATAAACATGTATCCATATTTATTAACCTATAGCATTCAAACGGTATTTTGAAGAATTAATGAACACTCGCATAAACGGTATATTGCTTTATGAGTTATGACTATTGAACTATTAGCCCAAACGGTCTATGCCCGTGTACTAAGCGAACCATAGCTGGTATATAACCATCCGGATAACTAAATAATTAAAAAACACTTACGTATTCTTGGATCGAACCACGACGTGGTCCTGGCAATGTGATTTATGAAGTAAGTCTCGCCGTCACCGGTGACGGCTTGTTCCCATCCGTCAGGCAGCGGTCCTAGTGTAACGTTTTTGTTCGCTCCTATAATATATATACAAAGGCCGAAACGCACGGGGTTAAAATTTGACTAAAATTAAGTTGGGTTGTTTTTGTTTGCGCTTACTGGTCGCCTTAGCGACGACCGTACGGCGTWAATAATGTAGACACATAAAAGTTTTTAAATGTGACTCATGGCACTACTATGCGTTATATGTACTATTAAAACATGATACATCATAAGTAGATAATATATGACTATAATATTTTCACTGCGATACGAAAATAAAATCTGTGAATGAAAATTTTAACTCACCTTGGAGGGTTGAATGAATATGTGGAGGCGAGTTCGTAGGAGTGCTGGTAGCGTTCGTGCTCGATCCACTGTCGTTGCCGGGGCTTAGCAATTGTTCGGCGCTGCGCTGGTGTTGGTTCGCTGCCTGAGCGGCCAAGCTCTTTCTCGGATCTTCCCATTGGGTCGTTCTGGTGAGGTGACTAYAGCGGAAAAAAATATTTAGTCAGACATTTTCATAATGAAATGAGAACAGTATAACATTAAAATAATATATATAGATAATTGACCGTCTCGAAAAATAAAATTATGATTTTGAACACGTCAAATACACATATATATATATATATATTATATATTAACAATTTCAATGGGGTGCAAATAATAAATTTATTGTAAGTGACTATTCGTATAAAATAAACGTCAGACAAGCTTGTTTGACGCCGACGACGGATTAGTCATAGCTCGCAAATACAACTATCAGACTCTTGAATAATAAACCTCTTATATAATATGTATMGATCGACCAAATTCTTTAAAATGACGAGATGCACATTTATACTAAATTTTTTTCTTGGTACATATAGGTATATAAATCAAATGCATATCGATACTTAGATAATTCGTTTATTATTTTTTATAATAATATATGTATTCAATTGGATAGGTACACGCAATGGCCATTGACTGTAACCCTTCAAAAACAAATAATTGCAAGATAACAACGTTATTTAGATTTGAATGTATACCTTCTTGACCTAGTAGGTACTTACAAATACCTAACTAATTGTAGGTACGTGTATGTGCTTATAATACAAGTAAACGACATTAGTCACTGCTTTAATGATTAAGTTTAAAGAATAAAGACTAGAGAACTCGCGCGGGCGGGCGACGGAGATTTCAGTGGTCGACGTGTGCGTCGGCTTCTCGGGATTGTGTTCGAAAAACGATTTGGCATAATTTTGGTATTCCGGCAAATAATGCCATGGTTATTGTTTTTAATAGGTATATGCATATTGCATACAATCTTCGATGGCATCTATTGCCTATTTAGTGCAATATCAACATAATAACATATATATATATATTGGCGGCATTTTAACACATCATCACGTAGTGCATTCATGGATGTGTACTTTCTGATAAAAACACAAATGTATACAATGCGTTGAGCAAGTTCATTTTTTAATACAATCGACGGAAAAACGATACACTCATACATCATGTATAATAATAATATATGTACATTATATCATAATATTACGTTAGGTATATAATACACAAGCACCGGTTGTACATCACAATAATAAAGTATATAGCAAGCTATTTACACCGCAGTACCTATGCTTAGCATAACCTGGCAAAAAAGCGTATTATTTTTAAGAACACATAGACAATTCTGAATTATTGCCGTCCTCTGAACTCCGAGACGTTAATAATAATTACTCATAGGTATCTAATATATCATATTATAATTTTGTATAATAGGTATACAGAGTGTAACAGAAAGACTTGACTAAAAAAAAAAAAATATGYCAATTTATCGTATATGACAAAATTTTTAATATTACATAATAAACAAGAAATATACTCTTGTCACCAAATTCTCAAAAATCATATTTTTTTTTAAAGTTATTGCGTTCCAAATTAATTTAACCAAAAAAATATTGAATTTTAAATATTTTATTTGAAATGATTTTACCACCAAAATTGTTTTTATTAAATTAATTTTTTTTCAGTAGTAAAAAATAAAAGATAAAAATACTAATGTAAAAAAAGGTTAGTCCAAAAGTCAGTTATATCTGTTACACATTATATATTATACGAAACATCGCGCGTACAGGCGCACTGGCCGGGTATTGGCAAACGGCGTATATATTATATTAATAATACCGCGGCTAACCYACAGCAGCTAAATTAATAATAATGTAATAATATTATTATGAATTACGAGTTTTCGATGATATTATTATTGCCGCGACGCGTCTGATATTGCAACTCGAAAGTGACGCCCACACGACTCGACGAAACGGACGAGCGCGCGTTTTATACGATATATAATGTACATTATATGGTAAGTATATACGAGTCATCGTTGACTATACAATATATAATGTGAATAAATCAAAAGTACAGACGAGCCTATATTTATTTTACCCGCGTTATTATTATCCACGCATATTTTCATAATAATATGCAGGTGCACACGTTGGAGTCGGTGAATACATTTGGCCACAAACCGACAGCGATAAGCTTTTTGGACTAGTTATGTTGCACTACGTCACCGACACTCTGCGTGATTTTATAATCACCTAAATCGTGTATAATTTTAAATTACGCTCAATATAATGATGAAGCAGGTGAAACGATCGATTTCATGGGTCGGATTTGGACTATACATACATTTTAATAACCGTCCAATTGTGCACTCGGGGCCTAAGGTAACGTAATCACTCATCCATATATATATAATATTATATCAGTGGTATAAGCTAGGCTACATTTTTGGAGTTGCTAAAGTTCTCAAAATATTTTATATTCGTGGAAGACGTTGCCATCGTAGATATACTGCAGAAGTGCCCCTAATACGACCAAATTTTTTTTTACTTATTAGCATAATACTATATTTACCTAAATCTTAATAGGTCTTTATAAATCTTTACTAATCTTCCAGCAATGAGCCTCATCATCCAAGTGTGACGATTCACACGTATCTATATTATATTATTCCATAAGCAGGATTTCATTAATTCACTATTCCCGTCCGAAAGTTTATCGTTTTAGACTCTTTATTGGACTTGATATTAGGTACATTATAATGATAGTACTCCGCACGTTGTCGAGCTGTGCATCTTTTTTTGTATTAATGGCAGCATTAACCTTAAAGCTTGTCTTAGAGAAGCGGTCTAGAAAGAGTTATATCTCCGATGTAATTCTCTTAGTTTAAATTTCACTATACATACGAAACACCATAATATATACTATTAAAGTATATATAAAATTAAAAATATATTAAACTCGTGGATTTTAATAAAACTAAAAATATCATTCACTCTACAATATTGCACGTTGTATAATGAATATTTGCTGGGTTTGATAAAACACACAATATTTTAACGGAAATCAAATTTTTTGAAAGAAGAAATCGTAATCCTTATAACCCTGGTTTTAAGCCGAACCCCCTTGGCTAGCTTGAAATGAGACTGTACTCGATGACGACTTTACAAAAATCAATGCTGCAGCAGCTAGACATGCATTACATTAAAAAGACGACGAAAAAAAAATATTTTACGTAGCGGTCCAATACGTAAATTCGTTAGACTCGGCAAAACAGACTCACTCTGCACACACACACGCACACACACACACACACTCGGAAACGAGCGTGCGCCGCGGTTATCAATTACCATTGACGTGCTCACACAGTCAACATTTCGAGCTCGTAAATATTGTCTCGCTAACAATCGGACCCTATTGACGGCGGTTAGAGCCGAATCTTCTCTCTCACACGCTTGTCGATCTGCTTTTCCCCCGTCTCACCCCCGCTCATTAATACATTATTATATACAGCCTCTCTGCCATCTCTAACTCTTTCTCTCTCACTCTCAGTCGGTCTTCTTCCATTGCGTCGCACGTCGTGAGGCGGCTACGTCGTCGCCACCGTCGCGTCTTACCGTTCCCACGGTCTTTGGGCGACGCGAATATAAATAACACTCGTGTGCGCTCCGTTTAATCAGTTGTTTTTTTTATTTTTTTACGTATACGACAACACAAAACGACACACACACAATAATAATAATAATAATAATAAAATATATAATAATAACAACAATAATAGTACACAATGTGACGATAAATAAAAATGAAAAATGGCATCTTATTGTTCAGCGTGCGAGCGGTTTGATAAGCGGCCGACCTTCAATGTAGAACCTTATCTCATCTAGAGCCACCGCCTTTTCATTATACACACAAAAATCATAAAAAGCTTTATCGTATAGTAATAATTATATTAATAAAAAATTACATGTACATTTAATATTATAATCCGTTATTCGAGTAGGCATTTCCTTCAGAGATAAAAAAAAAACGCCTTGTGTTTAGCACTCGCCACCACCGCTGTCGTCGTCTACGACGTCGTTTGCGATTTATAAAATTTGCACATCAGACACAAAATATATTATAATATTGTAATAATAATATTGTATTAAAATAATGTCACAATAATAATATTATTATCAATGACGGCGGAAAATAAAACCATGACTCATGTTTTATTTTAAGCGCCATGATTTTTTAATGTTTGCGCGCATTTACCTAGAATATTTTATACGGACTGTACCTACCACTATTCACTAATATCATATTATAACAACGGTGGYGGGTGGACCCATTAAAAATTTGAAAATTTTAATTCGTGACACAAGTTATAAGTATGCACAAGCATCGCAAAGGGTATTATACCGCTTCCGACATAAGTGAATTTAATCCTTTCAGTTTTTGGTGAACTGTGAATAATTTTTTGGTCTTATAAACTAATTTACTAACTCCGAGACCAAAATGAAAAGTTCCTTCAAAAGGTRAAATTGAAATAATATTTAAAAAATTGTAATGGATGCACCCTATCAAAAACCAGTTCAAATTACCATCTATGGCAGGCTGTTACACTGGTAATCACCACACACTACACAGGTGTAATTTTCTCGGGTACGTCGGTTTTTGGCMCTTCTATGGAAAACTTTGTAGTTTACATCCGGCCACCTTGTATACAAACAGACGTGTTTTAGCGATACAGTTTTGAGCGACCGGGTTACCGTTTTAGCTAATCAAGTAGGTATAGTTTGTTCGCTTAAATTGGTTAGTAATTTGTTCAAAACTACATCGCCAAAACGCGCATAACATAAAATTATAATGAATATTGTATACTATGTAGGGTAGGCATAAACATAAACGCATAAACCAAGTTACAACGAAATCCGATTGTACCAGACCGGCGTGTGCGGTCGGTATAGTATAATATTATAGTATAGGTATGGTGTAGTGCCGTGGTGGGCCATTATTATATTATAGCTGGAAACCGGTTCGTTGGCGCGCACTCAATCGYCGACCGCCGTTCGACGATGGAGAGTCGGCGACGGTTAATAATCCTTTCCGCACGCCTAAGATAATACAATTTTCCTGATGMAGATCGTCCCGTAATCCTGAT